TTAATTAAATCATTCATAATAAATATTCATTTGTTTACATTGAACAGTTAACGAGATTTTTAGTTACATTTAAACCTGTCATTTATTTTACAATTAGAGTTGTTTGTTGTACTCAAAATGTAGTCAGCAACAAATAAGTCTGAACACGAATTCCACAGAATATTATTACATTTTACACCCAATAAGGGACCGTGCTACTTACAATAGAGTTTCTAGACTGCCTAAGCGTATCCATAAACTTGAGTAGAATTTTATAGGCGACACACCGCCGTTTTGGAACTATGGTTTTTAATGTTTTGTCCATGTGTAGAATATTCAAATGGCGTAGAATGACATTCAGGTTTGGAACTATGATAAATATGGTATAATTAGTGAGAACTTATAATCATCTCTCTTTAGTATTGATATTAAACAATCAGACTAAGCACGGCTTTTCGACCTTTAGAGAAAAAGTACTGACTTTTTCTCTAAAGGCTTCCTCGTCTTAAAATAAACGCTTTAATCTTAAAATTTGGCTGCAAGGTATACATTTTTTTGTTCTGTATAGGACGGCAACTTTCACAACGTAAGAACTGGCGTCTATCAGTGTTCTTTATAATGTCACCTTTTAATGATTTTCTGCTATCCTGAGTTAAACATAAAGAAAGTTTAGTTCGCTTTTTGGGTACTTTTATGTAAATTTAATATGTGGGTTAAAACTGTTTGCGAAATTAATAAATTCGACAACTTCGCCCTTACCGTTATATCAAATTTTAAGTATATCGTGGAAAGAATGTTTATAAGAATGGTTTGTGTGTAAATTAATTTAGTAGATACTTCTATAGAACCCTAATGTAAATGTTCGCATATGATTGCTGAAAACGCGATTCCATGAATCCGTTATAAATCTGCGTGTAGTGGTTACTCAGAAATGTAAAATTATTAAGTTATGGAGTTAAATGCATAAACATATTTACCACATTCTTTCTATCGGCCAGTTGAGCGTCTTCAACGGTAACCATAGCATTTCCTATTCCTTCACCATGTGGTATATTAGTTTATAATGAGACCACGTTCATTGCCACCAGCTATATATTTATAAAAGAAACGAATATTTGTGCCATTAATGAAATGAAGAAAATGGGAAGAGTCTTTAATGTATGACGGTGCTGTAGCTTCAGTACCCCTAATTTGTTCATCAATGACACCTGAGGTGTGTTCTGTGTGTGTACCAACTCCAGGAATAATATGTCTACCAGGGTGATTTGGATTGTGCACTGCCATTAACATATAAAAATGCCCGGGTCTAGCATTTTCTTGTAGGAGATATTTAACACTCTCCTTCTTTACGGAAAAGCTAGGCAACTGAACAGGACTAAATAATATAGGAAGCTAGGTAATGATCCCAGACGTAATTTAGAGGTGAATATTAAGTAAGAATTAAAACAACTACAAAAAAAAACAGCATGGAGAGCTTTAAATATTTTCTACAAGAAAATCTTAGACACTGAGATTTTTATATACTAATGAAAGTACTCAAGTCAAGTCACCGAGGTAGACCCACTATTTCTAAAATAGGTAAAAAAAATATATAGAGAGGTACTGCAGCTAAGGCCAGGTAACACATAAAATACTCTGTCAATTTAAAAAAAAATAATACATTTTATACAAATAGACTATATTTCAAAGTATTACAAGTGAAAATGGGCGTAGTCTCAATATACATCAATGTACCACATTATGAAGGAATACGAGTTGCTCCGGATAGCGTCGATACACTGAACTGGCCTTTAGTAAGAATATGCTAAATATTTTCATGCGTCTAAGTATGAAACCTAATCATTTCACATTTCTAAATACCCACTAATCACAGATTCATAGCACAACAATACGATCTCCCTTTTTCATTATATATATATAGAAGAAGAAAAGAACCCTTAGTGAAAACAGCAACAACGGACGATTTAATCTTCGACGTTTCGGCCGGAGTCCGGCCTTCGTCAAGAAGAAAGTCTTCCTGACGAAGGCCGAGTCCGTCGAAGATTAAATCGTCCGTTGTTGCTGTTTTCACTAAGGTTTCTTTTCTTCTTCTATACCCACGCCTTCGGCCCCCCGCCACCATGCCCGTTGTATATATATATATATATATATATATATATATATGGTGTTTCAGAGAACGCAGACCAAATCGCTCCTGCGAAAACTACTCATCACAACAAAAGGGGCTTGAGATGGTTAGTTCCGGGTTAGTTAAGTTGTTAATTGATTCTGCGTAATTAATTTTTTAATATTGTGTTTAAGAGCTAGGTTTAAATTAGAAAACTGCTCAGCATCATCGAAAAAAACTAAATCAACAAATTGCAGAACGATAGAAGGCACGCGAAGCATTTTACGGCTTTCTGAAAAATCGCACAAATTCGGCCGGTATTTAAGTTTCGGTTTGCAACAGAGCGCATCTCGGCCCCGGCGGCACCGCGCCCCGTGGAGAGATAGCGCAACCAACCTCTGCTGCGCTGCCATCGCGCGACGCAGCAGAGGCTGGTTGCACTATCTCTCCACGGGTCGCGGTGCCGCCGGGGCCGAGATGCGCTCCGATTGCAAACCGAAACTTAAATACCGGTCGAATTTGTGCGATTTTTCAGAAAGCCGTAAAATGCTTCGCGTGCCTTCTATCGTTCTGCAATTTGTTGATTTAGAGCATTTTGATGATGTTGAGCAATTTTCTAATTTAAACCATGCCCTGAAACACAACATTAAAAAAGTTAATTACGCAAAAATAATTAACAACTTAATTAACCCGGACTTTAATAATTTTCCTAAATAGGCCCCTAGCCGAGGACCAAAACGCCACAAACCCTTTTTGGTTGCGGTGTGTAGTTTTCGCAGGAGCGATTTGGTCTGCGCTCTCTGAAACACCCAGTATATATATATATATACATACATGACGACTTTAGAGGAACGTCTTCTAATTTAATTTCAACCCAAACCACTTTTTCAAAACGTTTTCTGGACATCTTTATAATTTAGAAAAAGAAAAATTACAATTGTTTTTCGAGTTTATTAACTGAGCGAACAGTTCTAACCTACATATTAAATTTACATCATGTACTCTGACACAGATCTAGGCTTTCTTGATTTTAAACTGAGGACTGAAGATAATAATAAAAAAGCATTATGTAGAAAGCCTAGAGACAGACGTCAGTTTTTACATGATAAAAGTTGCCATTCTATACAAAACAAAAGAGGTACACCGTACAGCAGGTTAAGGCGTTTATGTTCAGAAAAGAAGGCCTTCGGAAAAAAAGATCGAACACTAAGGGAGGTGTTTATTAACCGTCGATATCTTTCACATTTAGTAAATAACTCAAATCGATAAGCCGTGCCATTCCATGTGCTTATAGTTTAGTACAATGGTAAAGAGAGATAACTGCAACTTACGACTCATTTTCTATATCAGTCATAGTTGGCAATCATTAATAATATCCTCGACACCACATGAATATTGAAAAGTGAACCTTTTGGTAGAAGAAGTCGGTAGACATCTAGCTGGTTATAAATTACGAATATTTTACATACCGATGAAATATTAAAGGCTATAGTTCAACGTGCGCCTCGTATCGCCTTTAAAAGTCACACGATTTTAAAGATTGTCCAGAAACAGCATTGGACGAAGGCTGGTCCGTCTAGGTTTTGTAATTTATAAAAATAATAGCTCTGTTTTGTGTTCAGATTTATGGTTGGCTGAATATCATCGAGTACAACAAACAAATTTAATTGGAAAATGAACGAGACGTTTGAATGCAATTCAGGAAACGCGGTTGGCTTTGGTTCAATGTCAAAACGGCCACATTCAATATAGAGGAGAAACTGGAACAATTGTTCCAACACGTGCGAATCCGCGTAGAAGTCACATTCGTACACTTGTTCCCGGACGAGGTCCTCATCATCTTAATTCTATTGGTCATAATGAAGTGTCTGAATTTGGTGTGATTTTACTTCAAGGTGGCTTTAAAATCACCAGAGACTGAAAAACTAAGCATTGCGGCGCGCAAGTTTGTCTGCTTACGTTTGCGGGGGTTGTGGTGACGTCAGAACGCCGAGCTGTGATTGACTCTGATTGGAAGGATAGTGGGTAGACATCAACGCAACTTGCTTTGAGGTCTACACACTATCCTTCGATCAGAGCCAATCAGAACTCGGCGTCTTTATGACGTCACCTCAACCCCCCCCCCCTCCCAAAAAAAAAAGAAAAAGCAGACGACTTGTTTTTCACATAGCAATTAATTTATAATTTAATATTCTAGAAGAAGTTATTTTTAATGGGAACGTTATTGAACCTCAAAAATTGATTATGACGATGCCATCTTGTTTGATCCGAAATCCTTTTAAAGGGGTACTCCGCCGATTTCTTCATGGTCCCCGATTTGCTAGAAATTTTGCTAAACTCGTCAATAAACATCACTAAAATAGTATCCCAAATATTAGGTCAAAATAATTTTTTTTTCACGAAGTTATTGAATTTACAATTTTGGTCCTGACCGTGTTTTTCAAAGTGAAAGTTTCTACTGGCAACAACGAAAACGTGACGTCAGTGGAAGTGCAGGGGTTCACTCTTTGGACTGTAGAATGTGTTCCCAACTGATTCGAAGCAGTTTCGTGGTGTCAAATGAATGCTTTGGAAGCTCGCTCCAGTCCCCGCGCTCCAGCACGGAACAAATGATTGGCATATTCTATTTTTTAGACTGCTCGCCCGACTGGCAAGCTTGCCTTCCACTGACGTCACGGCCCCGAAAAGGGCGGGTATATTTGAATGTTTGTTTTTGCCTCATTTTCATTTGCCGATTTCGCAATAACTATTATGAATTTCGCGATACTAAGTAGCATACATGAAAGGGTAAAGGCCGGGGAGTCAGAAAATATAGTTAGTTGAGGTAGCTCAAAAATCGCCAGAGTACCCCTTTAAGCATTGACTCTCTGTATGTAACATAAGCTCAATTAATTGTCCCTCTGAATTTTTATAGACCGCCTGTCGCAGCGGCTGCCCTTCTACATTGTGAACCAGACCGCTTTTGTGATTGGCTGGGGCATTGAGCAGCAAAAAAGGCCAGTTTTTCGGCTGAAACAACTCAAGTTACGCATTCAGACGCAGGAAACTTGCCGGAAGGCGTTTGAAAACTCTACATACGACGACTTCATGATGTGCGCAAAGTATGCTGAAGGTGAGTGACGTTCCCGCCTTCCTTGTTCTGCCCCATATGATTATTTCGAAGTATCCACATAAAGTCCACGTGCGTTTTTTACAAATCTGTATATAACATTATTTTGCGGGCTAATATAGATCATTCCATTTAGCGCTCTCTGGGCGGCACCATTTTGTTCGACCGCAGCGCCCTCTCCACACATCCGGGAAGTTCAGCGGGTTCGGCGGGGTAAAACGAGAGAGAGGGCACGCGCCCGACTCCGCTAGCACACGACAAAACGGGAGGTTGCCATTCTCCATCTTTGGGCTGTAGCGGCGGGCAGTACGGAACATAGAACTCTCGCTCGTGGCTGCCGTTGTGAAGTGGTTCGCGTTCTTAGAGTAGTTGTGGCTACTCCAAAATCAGCTATATAGATCTCTGTTGTTCTATTTCGCTAAATGATCAACTAGCATATCCTTTTTCCGTTACTTAAATTGCAGTTGAGTCAGCCGGCAGTACTACCCTCAACTACTGCGTGTATTGCGGCAGGAGAGCACGTTTTATTTATTATTTCAGACTTCCACTCATGGTCGCTAAAGGCCTACACCAGTACGAACTTTGTATAGTAAAAAAGGTACAGCAACCGGTTTTACTTTTCGCCAAAGAGAACGGCCAATCTGACACAGTTTTCTCTATTTTTTTTTTATTTGCACACAGGTAACAGCGCAATTAGACCCTGTGAGTCTTTTTATCTAGCATAATATTACACGACAACTGGCATACCAAAATCTGCGCATCTGCGCTTGACAGTTCCAAAATGACGCGATTTTAAAGAAAGTTTGCACTCCAGCCGGACGCGAGCTACAGCCCACTCGGCGGAGCGGACGACATGAGGGGTGAGAGGGGGAGTGCATTTTTTTCTCTTTTACCCTCTCTGCTATGACCCTAATGAAACGGTCTATGGCTGCTGGGATTTATTGTATCGTGTAACTTTATTAAAATGGCGCCCAAGAGATGTCGCCCTTTTGGCACTTTATGTTCTTCGACAAGCTAACTGAGCGAGGACAATGACGAGCTCTAGTCAATTTATACAAATTGTAAAGATTTCGTATCGTGAACACTTTCTTGATTCAGTAAAACGTTGCTTTGAAATAGTGACCAATCTTAGAGCACCTTATTAAATATATTTTTCACGGGTAGAAGAGAAGTACAGTGCTTCTAGAGCCATGCGAAACCCAACCTTTATATTAGCGACGGCTGCAAAAGGCCTTGAGTGGGCGAAATAAAGTAACAAAACAAAAAAATTACGCTAGTTAGCACTGCAGATTTAAGACAGCCGTGCAGTATGTATACGGGTTTTTATGAATGTTTTGGGTTTATGCATGGGGAATTTATTTGAACATCGGGCACTGCTCTCAAACGTTTTCGTTATTAAAACGGTAGTTTTATAAGGCCATAAAACCTCAGAAGTTGGGTAAGCAGGAAATATGTACTTCGGTCAGTCCGTAACCGCTAAACGACCTTGAATCAAACGGTAACCGGTGCCAGAGATAGAACCCCAGTCACCGGCGTGGAAGCCGAGTACGCTGCTGACTGAGCTACAGACCTAGCACGCAGGAAGATCCGAAGCAGCAGGGGTGTGAAAAAGCACGGAGCGGAGAAGGGTAGAAAGGGGGAAAAAAAAAGAAAAAGAAGAGAGGAGCAGAAACAGGTGGTGTAGATAGAGCGCGCAGAACGAGGTGGAATGAAATTAGCAGGAAAGCGCGCTTTCCCTCTATAGGTGACACAGACAAAATCCGCGCGAAGTCTTTTATCAGTGTGGTTATGAATGGAAGCGCGCCCAGCGTCACAATAAGTTAATGGTGTAAAGTAATCCACTTCAATAAAACAGCCCTATGCGCCACCTAGACTAAGAGCACCATCCACCAGATGCACTGAAAAACTAAGGGTCATTCTGCCTATTGTGTATCCCAGTGAGAATACGACGAAGCGGATACGGAGTTCGGTCTTCCTTTTTTAGGCGGGCGTCGGGCTGGTTCATGACAAACTATATCCATCACATCATCCCGCGTGTACACAGTTGAGTGAACACATCTATCACAAATCATATGGTCAGAACTTTTGGGAATGATCCGCTATCGTCGCAATCGCAAGTGAAGAGCCGAGCTGACAAAGGGTGATCAAGTCTTTTGGGCTACAACGCTGCACTGTTACGGGACTAGGCCTAAGCGCTCAGTCCTGTTTTCGCGTTGACTCCTGAGCCAGCCACCTCTTCGAGGGCCATATCAACTCAGTGTTCCTGAACAGTTCTCACTTGAACCAGAACAATGCAGAAAACGTAAACGCCGCTGTGAGCGTTTTCGGCAAGCCTAGGCTGATCAGGTAAACTTCCTCATTTACCTGATTGTACCCAAGGCAGAATGCACCTAAGTGACGCTCTACATTGTGACCTACACAACTGACAGCTATTCATCTGCCATCCAAGCTTTGGAGGCACACTTCATCATTGAAAAAAACGCAGTCTATGTTACGACTGAGCTGTGTTACACAGTAGTATCCAAAAAGATAGTGAACCTGTCGCAGACTTTATCACGGCGCTTTATACGATTATCAAGACGTTAGTGTACGGCCAACTCACCAATGAGCTTCTTCGCGACCATGTTGGGTTGGCGTTCGTGATAAACGAGCGTCCTTGAAACTTCAACTAGAGAGTGAATTGATACTCGAAGGAGCAGTCCTCCTCGCAAAATAAAACTGATATCGTCGCAAACCAAAACATGCCCTTCGAAAGGAGGATGCAAAACCGTTTGATCAAGTTCAAGTCGAACACCTCAAAGTCTTTGGAAAGAAAACGATGTTAGCAGAGAAGGAGGTAGCGGCTGCAAAAGTCCTTTATGCGCGCTATTGATGCGGAAACCGCGTCATCCATAAACGAAAGGACTGCCCAGCATCAAAATGTATTTGCCACAAATGCGGAAAGTCATATAACTTTGCAACCGTCTACACACCAAAGGCAAACATTTTGCGTCATACCTCAGACCCTAGGACAGCTACCAAGCAGCTCTTCGAAGACGTTCAGCTCACAGAAAATGTGACCTCATCCAGCAAATGGACTCCTTGGCGAGTCTCACACTGTGTCAGGAGCGAAGAGGTGAACTTTCGTTTAGACACTGAGGCTGACGTCTCTGTCGTCAGAGCCCCTGCTCTCCAAGCTACATGATCCGGCTAGTCTCCAACAGCCCGAAAAGGACGGGCCTTTTTGTACCAACTAGAAAGCGCATCTATGTTCTCGGCATGCAGCAGGTAACTTTCGAAGACGCTGATGAGGCGGGAGAGTTCTACGTTATAAAATACGTCAACGAGGGACTTCTAGGCGCTCACCTCAAAGAAGCTTCTAACATTCTTCAAGGAGAAAACGAAGTGTCGACTCCACGAGTCCTTAATCTAATCGAAAAACATCCTTCGGTTTTTAAAGGCATGGGTGGGGCTGTATACTCATGAGAAATAAAGCAAAAATTGGATGATTATTCAGTTCCTTGGTCGTCGCCACTACGTACACCTGTAACACTCGAGAAAGCAGTCGAACAACAAAATCCGAAAATGGAGGAAGGTGTTATAGCCGAAGTTCAGGAACCAACATAATGGTGCTCCCCCATCGTGGTGGTTCCAAAAAAGAATGTCGATGTTTGCATCTGCGTAAACTATGCATCCCTTAACAAAAGTGTTTTAAGGAAGTGTCAACCAATCCGGAGCAAAGAACAGCCCCGTACAGGCAAAATTATTCTCTCATCTTAATAGTACTCCAGGTTTTACCACATCGAGTTGCACCCAGTCTACCATGCTAACGACTTTCATTACACCCTTCTGTCGATACAAATTTAATCGTCCAGTCTGGCGTTTTGTGGACTTTCAGAGAATACTGCACCAAACTATTGATAGGCTCATGGGGTCACATGCCATATCGACGATATCTTTATTTGGGCAAGCACAGAAGGGAACATAACATTCGTCTCCAAAAATTTTTCACAAGACTGCAAGAAAACGGGATCATTCTAGGCGCCAAGAAGTGCGTTCTCGCTCAAGAACGATTCTGTTTTTGGGACACCTGATTGATCACAGAGGTGAAATCCCAGACAGAAAAGATCTCCAGTTTATTAAACATGCCTTCTCAAGAGAACCCCGCAGTGCTAAAAATATGAGACGTTTACAATTCTCTGTAATGCCGAATTAGAGCGCAGCTTTTGAGCAGGAGGAGGGGAGGGCACGGAGGGGAGGGCATGCCCCTCCTCCCCCTCTGTATCATCACCTCCTAATCTCCTGCTCCCCTCCCATTTAGCTGGAAATTTTCGCTAAATTTCCAGCTAAATTAAGAGAAATTTTTGTTGGTAAATTTACTAAATCTAGCGGAAAGGTTTTCCCGCTAAATTTCACGTGACGTCACACGTGACATCACGTCACGTGTGACGTCATGAGGGTAAAATTTTCCCGCGAAATTTGGCCGAAAATTTGTCTGTTAAATTTAGCGGTAAATTTTTCCGCTAAATTTAGCGGGGAAATTTGTCCGCTAAATTTTGCGAAAAACGTTCCCCGCTTAATTTAGCTGAAAAAGTTTCTCGCTATATCTCCCGCCAAATCTAGCGATACATTTTTACCTTCGTAACGTCACACGTGACGTCAAGTGTTACGTCATTGTAGGAAACGTCCCATAATGCGACGCGCGGTTACGCCGACGGCGACGCCGCTCAACCCAAAAACGGGGGCCTAAGAGCAGCGTTCTAAAAGGTTTCCAGGCATGGTTAACTTTCTAGCAAGATTCATACCAAACCTGGCCAACGTGCTTCAACCCTTGCAAGAGCTACATCATAGGGATGCAGAATTCGCCTCAGAGACTCCTCACTAACGAGCTTTCTACAGAGTCGGTTAGAATCTGACATCTAGACCAGTCCTGGCACTCTCCTCCCCGATGAAAGCGATAATATTAACGGCTGAATCGCTCTTCCAGGTTGTGATCACACTCTCCCCTAGTGGACTGCTAGATG